GCAGCTTTTAGCTTTCAGCTGCCTGCCTCTGGATGAAAAGAGAGATAGAGAGATAGAGAGAGAGCCATGACTCATTCACATTATCCTCTGAAGTGGAAATCCTGAAAACGTGTCTTACTCACACATACAAAAACACACATTCGTGCAGCGGTTGGTGGGGGGAGGTGGAGCCCAGGAGCCCATTCCGAGTGCCACCATGTGTGATGCGCTTCAAGCAGCAGCCGGTCGAACGCCGTGGAGCCGCGAATTCACTCTAAAAAAAGAAAAAAAAGTGTATTTTAACTCGTGTCCTTAACTGTAACTCAAGAGGAGGGAGCTCCCTACCAGACACATGGCGCCTCTTTTTTTATTTTTTGCAGTTAGACGGTGAAAGCGGTTCAATAATTTAGCTCATCTCTTCATACATCACGCACAAAACAACTAAAGTAGTTTATTATTGTTCGTCGCAGACCAGATGTTCTCCTGAAAGCAGCGTATCTCTGTATAGAAGTCAGCAATGAGAGGGGAAGAAAAGGAGAAGTGTGTTGTTTTTTTAAGGTTTGCCAGTATTGACGGGCGGATTATCGGCGCCTGAGTGTCTCCTGTCAGTAATCACAGTTGGCTTTAACCTTCTGGCAGGTTTGAAAAGCATTTGAGCTTCTAAAATCACCAAAATTACACCATTTATAAAAGCCAGATCGTGTAGAAACAGAAAGAATCATCAAATATTCAACTTTCAGACAGCGTTTGAATCATCTGATCATGTGCAATATACTTTTTTGTCAGAAAAACATAATCAAGGTGGCTCGGTGGTTAGCATCGTTGCCTCACAGCAAGGAGGTTGTCGGTTTGCATCCTGGTGAGGACACCCGGGATCTTTCTGCATGTTCTCCCCGTGCAGCGTGGGTTCTCTCCCACAAGGTCCAAAAACATGTTGAGGTTAACTGGTGATTCTAAATTGTCCGTAGGTGTGAATGTGACTCACCCTGAGTCAGCTGGGATAGACTCCAGCCCCCCATGACCCTAGTGAGGACTAAGCTTGTGTATAGATGATGGATGGATGGAAACATAATCAAATTGTGATATTTTAACATGTCTCTCTCTCTTTATTTGCCAACAATAAGCCATTTGCTGTAACCAGATCGACGCTTTTTATTTTTCTCGAGTTAGACTTTAGTGAAGGTGCAGGACTACTGCTGTGGGACTATTTATTATTAATTGGAGCCTTGTCAAGATTAGGAAAAGATTTATTGGATCATTCTGGTTCAAAGTCATCTTTCCTCAGGCTAAGAAGACCTTTGATTGATTTTTCCATCGACTGATATGAGTCTTTTTTTTTTTTCCCCCCATATTGACTCTGGATAAATGTTCACACGTTCTCTCATCATTAAAGTCGGTGTTTGAGCCTGACTGTGGGAAGCAGGTGGAGGGAAGACACTTTAAGTGTTTGGACCACAGCCAAGAAAGAAGGAGGAAAAGTAGGTTGGATGAATGTAGGTTGTGTAAAACTGCATCGTACAACATCAGACGCAGAGTTGAGCTGCTGCAGCTGCTGAAATTAGGAATGCATTCCTGATCGTTGAATCATTGAAGGATTACTCATGTTAATGTTTTATTTAATTCCCTGCTGTTGGGTTATGAGGCCATGTTGGTGCACCATTTATCACAGCCAGACATCATCACAACAGGAAGAATGGTTGGATTTTGGATAATTCTTGAACTACTCATCCCGCAATATTAAACAAATCTATGCTTGAAATCGTGATATCCATCCATTAGCTATACACCTCTTAGTCCTCACTAGGGTCATGGGGGGCTGGAGTCTATCCCAGCTGACTCAGGGTGAAGGCAGGTTCACCTGGACAGGTCACCAGTCTATCACAGAGCTACACTTAGAGACAGACAACCAAGCACACTCACATTCACACCTACGGACAATTTAGAATCACCAATTAACCTCAACATGTTTTTGGACTGTGTGGGAGGAAGCTGGAGAACCCGGAGAGAACTCACGCTGCACGGGGAGAACATGGAGACTCCACGCAGAAAGATTCCGGTGTCCCCACCAGGGCACGAACCGGCGACCTTCTTGCTGTGAGGCAATAGTGCTAACCACAGAGCCACCTTGCAGCCCCGAAATCATATTTAATTAAAAATCTATTAATTCTACATGTGTTACTTAAATATGTGTCAATAATAAACAGTTTGCTCTAATCGGATTCTGTAAAAAGCTAAAAAATGTTGTTATTCTCAGCGCAACTTCGAAGCCATTAGTGCCTCAGTTGGGATGAACAGGAATGAGACAAAAATTCAGGGAGTTGTTGGTTGAACTGCAGATTGGAGGCAAGTATGGAAACAAACCCAACCAGATTCTGATCCTGCAGTTCTTATTACACCTGTGAAGCCATGAATAAGTCAAATGCGGCCAAGGGTCACATAAAAACGCTGTAATTTTTCAACTTAACTGCAGGCAGTGTTTACCCAGAGCAGATAGATCTTAAATATCTAAAGTATGTGGAGCCACCTTTTCTTCCAGTAGTCACGACACCTGTGTGTGCTTAGAAACATGTTGTGCTGTTTTCTTTTATGATTAGTCGCATTAAACTTTGCTCTACTGCACAACACAAAGTTCTCCTTCTAGCCGTGGTTGTGTTGTTTCCATAAAGGTGCAGGACTTTACACTGCAGTTACAAATAAAGAGCCCACAGTGTGTAAAAATGTGACGGGAGCAAATAAGACGAACGTAAACAGCAGTGTGAACAGAAAGGTTTTGGTGTGAGCTGCGGAGGAAACCACAGTCACACCTTGAACGCTTGATTAGTGTGTGATTGGTGGGAGGAAACTCAAACCCCAGACTGACCTAGAATGTGCTGCTTCACCTACATGCTGCAAATAGCTGCTTCAGGTATTTGACGACCAATTATTGTGTCGACGGAGTGGATACCAGAGATGCTTTTATTTTGAAAGCAAACACCCTAGACCCTGACATACATGCACGTTGATGAATTTGGAAGCTCACACAAGAGACAGAGGTGCACACTGACAAAGATGGATGCCGGTGACACTGAGCTGCAGCCTCTCCAGCCGCTGATGGCTGCAGGGCTTTGGCTCGGAGCCGTTAAAAGTCCCTCCCAATCCCTGGGATTCAGAGGATAAGGAGGAAGCATTACTCATTGTTTCATGCCCTTTCTGCATCTAGAAGACAGCACAGCAGGTTAAATAGATAAAAAAAGAAAAGATTGTGAAGGAGATTTTAATCCTTAAAGAGCTCTGCTGGTTTAACCTCCCTGACCACTTAGTGATCCTCTCCTCTCCTCTCTATTAGCTGCTGTCGCCGTCATTCATCTCATTATTCAGAAATCGGAATTAACGATAATCTCTCACATCGGGCCGTTTAATTTTCTCCGCCGCTCGTCCTTCCTCTTTTGGCCGAACATAAATTCTGTGTTAACGTCCAGCTCGGCCAGAAGTCGCTGGTGTGCTGAGACAGAGGACGGTACAGTGGTTCAGAGGATATCAGCTTCCACCTGTAAACGTTGGCATTCTCGTAAAAAAAGAAGTCTGAGAACGAGTTATTGAGGTTGTTGTTGTTGTGTTGTTCTTTGTTGGAATGAAAAAAAATGCTCCTTAAACAGCTGGGCACTGTAGTTTTTTATTAAATGTTGCTCAAACAGAAGCAAGCAGTCCATTTGCTGGGGACTATTTTCTAATGCGGATTGATATACATTAGATTCTCCAGTCGATATTTATTCGAGCACAATGGTGTATTTGGTGTCAAAATTAATCTTTATTGGTGGAACATGTTGCAACAGCTGCATTGTATCCTCATCACTAACCATATTTTATTGCCTTTTTGAAGTATTGCATTAGAAAAGATGTTAATTTACCGTCAATTTTGCAAAAATATGTACATTCTTTTTGCTCGCTTGAGGTAGCTTCTGACATGTTTTCCATATAAACTTCCAGGAAGTTTAAAAGCCATGCTAACTCTCAAAAAAATCCCCAAAATTCCCTTTTGGAAACAAAAACAATCATCAGTTTTTCTACTTTCCAATCGTCATCGAACCAGTCGTTTGTGACGAGCTTTCACTTGGAAAATATTATAAAAATCTATGCCTGAAACTGTGATATTTAATCAAAATCATTTCAAATTCCACCAAAAATAAACAGCTCATACTAACTAGATTTTGTAAAATACAAGAAATTTTGCTCTTATTGGTGCAACCATGAAGCCACGAGTGATCCAACTGTGACCAATAGTGACACGACAAAAAATCTGGGACTTTTCAGCTGAACTGGGCTGAACTGCAGTCAGAAACGTGGCCGATACCAGCTGACATGAAAGAATCATTACAAGTTGCCTGATTGAAAACGATTTCTGAGGACTTCTCTGCATTTTTTTTTCTTGTAGATGGTCAAGACAACTGGTTTTATTAGTTTCCTCTTCTTCTTTTTTCATGTTTTCTGGTTCACAACCTCTTCTACTCCATTTATGACAGTCATTCAGCTCATAGCGCCACCTTCTGGTAACATTACGGAGCCCAGTTTGCAGCAGTTAGTAGAAACAGGCCTGATTTGCATTTTGTCTGCAAAAGTGTGCCTGACAATCGCATGGAAGCACGGCTCATCTATCTTATTGGAGTGTTTTTTACTATTTTTACCACATTGGAGGAAAATAACTAACATCCGCCTTTAGCTATATGGGACACATTCACCTGTACGATCATCTTACTTGTTCGTTTTGTTTATTTCTTGTGAAATGTGGACGATAAGACAAATTTAACAGCCGTTTCCAAAGAAGCTGAGTCACCGTTTTTTGGCTGCGACATATATTTTTGCATTTCTACACCTCATCTCAGTTTCACACGAATACCGTAAAGGTGTGATGCCGACTCACGGCCAGCAGAGCGCATTTATAGTCGGCGTGTTAAATGCATTCACTTCCTGTCTTAAAATGGTAAAAAAGGAACTTTTTCTTTTCTAACCGTTTTTTTTTTTTTTTTCTCTTTATGTCTCCACAGAAACCTACTGGACAGAGACACCTTCTCCAAATCAGACCCAAGTAAGAACCACCACCTCTTGAATTTGTGTGCATGATTGTTAATTCAAGTTGGTAAAAAAAAAGGGAATTGTAATTCTTCTCAGTTTTATTTATAGCCCACCTAAACATTATATGTGGGAATAAATGGAAATTGCATGAAGCAAGAAGAAAGAGAATAAAAAGTAAAGAACAAATGTACAAAAGGTTGGAAATAAAGGGGATAAGGGCGCTGAAAGCGAGCAAGAAATTCATTAGCATTTGAATGAAGGTCCATTCTTTTGCCATGTGCAGTCGTGAGTCAGTCCTGATGTATGTAAGTGTTTTTTTTTTTTTCCACTGAATGTGTTGGCTTGGCTCGAGGCAGGTCTGACTAATGCAGGAAGTCAACTAAGTAGCTTCTCCTCATTGATGGACAGTGCAAGTGGCAATTCTCCTCTCCCACAGCTCTAATCAATATAATAACACCGTCAGGGCCACAGCGGTCATAGCTCAACATTGTGGAAAATGCACTTATTTGTTTCCTTTACAAGAGTTAGTGGAGAAGATCAATACACGGGGGCTGTGTGCTCCGAAGCTGACTTTTGTGAGACCCGGCTGGGCTTGACTTGAGGTTGCATTAACAGGTTGTTTAATTTGTTCTTCCCCCTGCGGCTGTAGAAATATTATTTTGCAGAAACTCGTGCCCCCGACGCACTCTGCTGTCAGTCGGGTTCGTCTGTTAGAGGTGTTCAGTACATCCGTGATCTGAACTAATGAACCGGCGTCAGCTCAGTGATGCACAGTGTGTAACTTCCTCATTAAAAGAGCATCGACAGAAGTGGTGGAAACAGTGAAGCCGTCGTGTTGTACCTAAAGTGTAAATAACAGACCGCCGAGCCTTATGTGCAGCGCTTCTGTCAGCTCGTGTTGTTCCGAGCTGAACTTGAACAATCAACAAGCTGAACTGAAGCCACTTTCAGTCAGAGCTGAACCAACAGTAGCTCGTTCACCTACATCGTGATGCGTTCGCTGACACGTGTAACGGATGAAATACATTTTAACCCTCTGAACCCCAAACTGTTTCTGGCCACTTCTTTGCTCCTGTCACACTTTCACTCACTGTGGCCTTATTGTTCACTGCATTATAAAGTCTAGGAAACAACAGAAGTAGAGAGAGCTCAGAAGTGTATTCAGTGCAGTATAACCAATTTATAATGCCATAAATCCAAAAAAAAGAGAAAATATTGAAGTTAAATTTCTTGGATTATCCATTTTTTAAATATGGTAAAAAAATGCAATTACCACATACCACCTTTTCCCTACAGGTGTAACCAATACATATAATATAATCTACATACTGTAGATAGTTTACGACTGTTTACATACTTGTCTACTGCTCTGTAAACACATCCTGCAGTTCAGCCCAGTTTATAACCAGTGTCTTCCTGGTTGTGCTGAAGAACACAAATCTAATCTGTGCAAGAAGTTTTTTTGGTACAGTTTTTACATTAGACAAATATGTAATAAATAATAAAATAATTCTGATGAAATATCAGCGTGTCACAGATAAGTAGTTCAAGGACTGTTGGAAAGTTCCAAATGTTTCTATTTTTGTGGTTTCAAGCTCTGAGAAACAGCATAACCTTGGCTTTTTTTTTAAAAGATCACTTTTCTTTCACTTTCACTTTCCTGGAGCCTTGGACCTGCTGTGTGCAGACACCAGGATGCACATTACTTAGCTATTGTTATTTTCTTGTACTTTCTATATTTTTGGATGCTGCTGTGGTGTAGAAATTTCCCAGGTCTGGGATAAATAACGTATTCTATTCTATTCTTTGAAACCCACGAGCAGGTTTTTGGGTTCCGATAGTTCAGAGTATCACGACGGCTCGGCTTAGAGAAAAAGTGAACAAACTGCAAACTCAGTGTCTTAAAGGCACAGAGATGCTGAAGCAGCCTAAAATTCTATGAAAATATCACCAAATTCACATCCCATCTTTAACTCACGTTGTAGTGATAAAATCAGGATCTTAGCGTTGCAGAGCAGCAGCTCTAAAGTGACTGCCGGTTAACATATAGTCTTAATGAGCTGTGTTTCAGGGACTATTTCATACTTTTTGTGTTGTCTGACAAATGAAACAATAAAATATGCAAATAAGAACAGCTTTATTGGGAATTCAGCTGTATTATGAACCAGTATATGTGAGCACAGAGAGAGAAGTAAACACATGTAAAATACCTGCTGTTTGTTTTCTCTTTAGGTGCATTTATCTGCAAACCCTTTAAAGTGTACCAACAGTGTTTTTGTTCCTTGATCATTTAAAGTAATCCAATATTTTTAAATCCTTGGATCTTGGGAAACTTTCACTCTTAACTAAGTCAGATAAAAAAATGACTGGAACCAAAAAACACTGAAGAAACTCATTTGTTAGCAGCATGCATCAGTTAAAAACACGCATCTGTAGCACTGACATGGTCGATTGTGCCGACTAATCAGAGCTCTAATCTCTGTGCTTTTGGTTAATACCACACTTGGCTTATGTCACTTCCTGTTGTCTCCGTATATTTACTGGACGTTTACGGGAGCGGCATCGATTCGCTCCTTCTCACTCTCCTCAGAAGCATATTTCCCAGCGGATCAAACCTTTGCTTTAATGACATGTGATCTCAGCGGATAAAAAAAGATCATCTGAAAACGACTGCGAGCTCATGCCAGCTTTAATGTCGTCACCGGATGGACGTCGCCCTAAATACACAGCCGGAGCGCCGCAACCTCACCTCATCCGATCCAGCAGTTCAACCTGGACCGTGTTAATTAAGTTGAATCAGGTGTTTGCTTGCGGTTTTTCTCCGCTTTGAGCCAACCACCTGCTTCGTATTTGGCACACAGACACGAGTTCGGTGTTGGTTTTCTCACTTAATTTCCCCTCAAGAAACCAAACGAGGCATTGTTTGTGGTTAGACTTGTATACGGGGTGGATCCGGTTTAAGATTCTTTCCCCTAAAATTAAACCGCCGCTGCGATTACAGGTCTCGAGGCGGTGATATCATGGTGACTTCTGAGCCCCTGTAATGACTCCCGGTCTGCAAAAACACGACTAGTCAGCAACATCCGCAACGGCATGAGACAAAAATGACTCAAGGTGATGCCGGTGATGACAGTGATGAGCGCGATGATGAGGATGACAGTGATTAGGAGGAGGAGGAGGAGGAGGAAGAGGGACGCCTGAGCTTTAACCATACATTTAGCTTTTATGCTGAGTGGCACTCGCGATTGTGCTGAGCGCCGCATCTTCGGCCTCCTGATATGAGCCAACCTGACAGCGGGAAAAGAGCGGGGAGGTAAAGGAGAGAGGGAAAAAAAAGAAAAGGAGGGAAGTTACAGGAAATATAGAGATGCTTCGGATGTGTCACTGGGATGCATCTCTAAGATCTAGTGATCCAGAGAAGAGTTTTCTGGTTCAAATCCGTCTTTTCCCCCAAAAAAATATCACCTGCAGCATTTCTTTGCCTGCGTACAAGATAAAAATCCGAATCTGAAAAGAACATCAAAGCCCTTTGAAAATGAAGCATACGATGATTATTCAGCCTTTTAGAGAACGCTCCTGTTTTGGGAAATTGGAAAATGGCCCCCCGAAATTATGTTCCTCACCGTCTGAAGAGAGAGAATACATTTATTTAGGCTTTAGGCTCAAACTATTAGGAGCTTTGATGTTGTTTTGTTATTTCTAATTCATGCATTTATGGCTCATTAGTCATGTCCATGAAATACCATGACATTTGAGTTTATTTATTTATTTGCTGATGTCTACCCATAAAAACAGCTACAAAAAAAATCTATTCCTCGGCACAGTATAGGAACAACCGATGTGCATTTTGTTGATGTGTTATAGAGGATGTTTGTCTGAGTGTAAAAATGTGTAGTTATTCATTATTTTTTACTTTTGTGTCTTCACAGTTTGTGTTCTCTACACACAAGGAATGGGCAACAGGGAGTGGAGAGAGGTGAGTTAGTGTGTTACAGATAAAGCCAACATACAACCACAGTACAACCTACACCAGAGTCCAGGGGAGACACGTTTACAGTAGAAACCAGTAAAAAACACAGAGATGTCTTAACCTGGTCCACTTCTCTGCTGTCTTTCCATATTCTTAGTTTGCAACAAACAGTTGGATATTTGCTCGATAAATACAGTAAAACAAGGTTAAAAACTAGGATGACGCAAATCCTTCTCTTCACTAGATTTCATGGAAATGTGTCCAAGAGACCGCTTCAAGAAAACATACTACTAGCATGACTCAAATTATAATGTACACAATGCTGTAAACATGGAAGCACTTTTGAGTTACTTTGAATTGTGGAGTGTTTGTTTTCCTTTAGAAGTACTTAAACTCCATTTTTCTTTATTTTCCTTGGGTCTGAATGGGTCTCTGACTGCATGACAGAAATGGATTATCCTCTTATTTCTGACCATTTTCTAGGTAAAAATATCTTTTATGTTTGAGTAATGAAACCACAAATATATATCAATATGTTTTTTTATTATTTGCATCATTGTGCTACTGGTGACTTTTCTTTTGTGCCCGTTTAAACTTCTTTGGAAGAGAACTAGAACTTCTTTAAGAATGCCAAAAGTTCCTCTACACAGGAAATAAATCTGTACATATTGATTGTAGTGTTCAGGCAGCCTTAGTAGTTGTAGATATG